TTTGTGTACACTTGTAAAATTCATAAATCAGTCTAAATAATTGAAATTTATATCAACAAATTGTACTTTTAAAATGAACGTATGCATTCTATGATGTCTTATTATGCCAAAATGTAATTTTTTCTGGGTAAATATAAAAATAGAAAATTAATAAATCAAGTGATGAAAGAGCTATATCCGTTTTATCCGAGTATTTATGCACTTAACAAAAACTAACTTTATTAAAACCTTGACCTTAAGATTTATTTATTTTGGCAAGATAGGTGTGCATTTCAAGTTATTTTTATTATAAGAACTTATGCAGCAGAAAACCTGTTTTAATATGATTTAAAATTTTTACAAGTATATATGTATAAATATTTTCATTAATCTTATTTACTCCTTCATAAGCAAATTGAAGTTGATAAAATAACTCTTTAGAAAGAGAATTCAATCAAAATTATTAGTGTGACATGTAAAAAAAAAATGATAGCGATTTTACGAAAGCATCTTTGTTATAAACTTTTCACAATAACTATTAACCATAATAATTTGAAATTTTATGCATTTATTAATTCTACAAAGACAACTTTCTTTGATTTTGAGAGTATTCGGTTGAAGGGGTTATTTGTTATTAACAATCGAAAAATGTGCTAGCTTTGGTGTTTTTTTCAACCCTGCAGACGAATGAAATGACCTATTGTAATCAATTTGTTTTTTGTTTCGTAGATCTTTTTAAGAGCTATATTTTACTTGCAGACTAATTTTTCGTACGATTTATACTTAGTGTGCTATTTCAGAAAAACCGATTTTTTTCAATTACGAATTTTTTAAACAATGACCCAAAAAGTTTTAAGCTGTTCATGAAGACAGATATTCAAAAGCCTAGATTAATTTTATAAGAAAATGTTTTATTACTGCAGTATCTGGAGTTTTTGAAACGGGGTCTTAAACAAGTATTTTTTTAAAACTATAGTTGACGTGACGTATATGACGACTGATGGTTATTATACTATGGATAAGACAAACGGCAACAGCAAGACCAGATTGTTAGGTCAGGATACATGTTCGAAAGGCCTTCTTGCAATGAGCGTCAACTCACAAAATTTACGTGAAACGCACGCAACCTTTAAATGCCAGTCTATATTAACAAAAACAAAACAACAACTTAAGTAGAAACTCGCCTGAGAAGATAAACGAGAATAGTAGGGGGAAAAAGGTAACACAGAGCCCTGAGTGCTCTGCAGCGTTCTCTCTAGTCACTCTATAACTGTGAGGATTCCTTCTTTTTTTCCAGGTACAATTAAATNAAATTACTTTAGGTAAATACAAAAATCATTTTTTGTTACCACTATGTGTTAAAATGATGGATTTAACTAATTATGTACTATGATGTCAATCACATCGGTTAATATCAGTAGAAGTTGGAACTACGTATTTATATCCAAAGAATTGTCTATTATTGAGTCTTGATTATATCAAATTATTAGGATTTTTCTGCCATATAAATATATAAAAAAATTTTTTTACGTAATATTTTATCATAGGACAGCCCTTGAATTTACAGTAATGTGTATTCTAATAGATTAAGTATACCTTAGTAAGCACAGTGAAAAAGACCAACCCCCTGATAGGCACGTAGAATACCTGAGATGCCTGTGCATCTCATGCATGTCTCTCATTCAAAATCAGTGTGAGTACACACGAAAAACTTTGCGCGTGGGCCCCACGCGCTACGACCGTGTGTGTCACAGTGTATACGCTAGCAGACCATACTACATTCGTTTGAGTGCATCTTATACCGTCTATACCTGTATCACACAGTGTTGCTATGTGAACCGATGCGTTTAACCCAATACTTCTCTCACACTGTCGATATATGGATGGTATTCATGCTACAGATGCTTGATTTTTTTTCCGTGGACATATATATTTGTATGTTTATATAAAAAATCTATGCAGACAATTAAATGTATGGAGGGGGACTAATTATGCAGACAAATAAAGAGTTATGGGGACGTCCACATTTTACGCCTTTTTATTCATTTTAGAAGTTTTGTAATCTTTCTTTTATCTTCTCACCACCGTTACCACTCTTACGATTAGATATAGCCACTTTTCTCTACCTCACAGTTCGGTATAGTAAATAAATTAATGAATGTATAAGTTAAATATAATTTTATAACTGTATAAACTGATGAGAATTCAAAAAAAGGTTTTCAAAAAAGTCTTCTGTTGCAAAAAAAGTAAAAATAAATGTTTATTGTCAACTCCTATGCTCCATTAAAATTTTTGTACAAAGTTCATTGTGCAGCATTGTAGAATTTTATAGTAAATGAGCCGGATAGTATACTTCATCAGTCATTTGCTCTCAAGCGATAATTCGCAAAATGCTTTAGAGAGTTATTATAAAGCATGGTGAACGTCAACTGCCACTTCGTAAGTTGATGGGACATCACCAGCCTCTCAATAAAAAAAAATTATTGTTAATTATTTTTGCTTGACTGATTATTTATTTAAATAAAAAAGACGGCTGGCTATTGGCAAGGTGCTAATAAGGTGCGGCTTTCACCTAGGTTTTCAAGCCCACGTAAATTTTTATAGCGGAAAAATTAGTACAGTGGCTGCTACTGGCGAACTCGGGCTCCTGTTTCCATAAAACTGCGTGTTAAAATGATAAGTGGCACCAGCCCTCCTCTCTAGCGACTTGCACGCAGTCAATATGTTTGTGAAAAATCGTATTTTGATGCAGTAAAAGGTGAAGCACAAGAGTTAGGTGTGAGCGACGAAGTTTATTATTTAAAATTACTTACTGTCACTTTAATTGTTCTTGAATAATGATCTATGAAACTCTTTTCATTTTATAAGTAGTTTCTGTTATTCTTCAGTATCTACAATTAACATAATTTTTTAATTTTATCTACAATTTTTAGACTACAGTTATTAAACTTTTTAATTTCATTAAGTGCTCTACTACTGTTACTACTGTGAATGTAGTCATAAATGTATTGCAAATTTTTAGCAAAAAGGTAATATTTATAATATATTTAATGTAAAATGTATACTAATTAAAAATAATTTGTATCCTTAGAAGTGTGAATGTCATTTATCATTTATTATAGGAGTACTATATTTCAACTTATATTTAGGAGTATTATATTTCGACTTATATTAAGAAGTATTACATTTCGACTTATACTTAGGATGAATATTGATATTTTTTATGGTGTTAAAAGGTTGGAAAAAATGTGACACATTTTTTTTTAATCATACAAACGAAATCTTTGAAAGTGTATGTTGAGTTACAAATTTTAAGGGTTTTTCATGATTAAACATTATTCCAGCAAATATTTTTTTAGTTACATTTCGAGGTGTAATTGTTTTACAATAAGATGCAATGTTATTTTGACTAATAATTCGAAAATTTGTTTTTGTTTTGAAAATTTTGTTGCAACATTCTATGCAAACTTTTTATTTATCATACGTAATGACATTTAATTAATTATTTTTATAGTTATTACTGTGTGGGAATCACTCTACAAATTACATGCAGAGCCTACTGGCTAGCGGGCTAGGGGGCTAGTGGGCTAGTGGGCTAGGTGGCTGCAAAATGCTGAGCAGGAGAGAATACTACAAATAAGTCTTTTTACATCCTTATTTTAAACAAAATTGGATAGATGGACCAGTTAGATCAAAAATGACAAGAGGGAGCTTGATCGTAGGTTGCTCTCGTTCCACTCGAGTCAATTTTTATTTGTTGACAAGCTCTAATCTAATATTTCTGTAATTGTTGATTATATCGTCTAGTCTTGTATCGGATTATAATTAATAATTGTATAAAAAACTACTTAATTGGATACCATGTAATAAAAGATTTAAGTAGTAAGGATAACAGCAACATAATATTTGATTAATTTGTCAATATTAACCATTTTTGGGAATGAAAGTTCAAGTTTTTTAAAATAAAGCGGTGTATTACTGAAAATGGAAGGACATGCAAGGGAAGAAAATAAAAAAAGAGATTAAATCCCTAACAGTATTATGTCAGTTTACTGGCAAGATGGATGACATGGTGAAACAAATATAAATACCTATATCTCTGCAGCCTCTCGTTAAAACGTAACGTCATGTTACATATCCTTTTTTAAGATATAAAAAATATAAAGTGTGTTACCATTCAGCTGTCATGTTAAGCCAATTACTGGCTTGTCCTGCTTTTCGCTATGTTGAAGTAATGTAAATACTGCACAACTGCTGAACGTATCAATTAGAAATATTGATGAAAGAGTACATATTTTCGGTTGGTAAGTTATTTAATATGGCGTAAAGCGGGACGAGCCAGTGATTGATTGTTTTTTGTAGTTACAATATTTTAACGTAATTTAACAATATTAACGTTATATTTTTTAAATTATGTTATACATCATGTTTGGGCATCAGTTACCCACTGATATAAAATTTTAATTCTCTTGAATAGCCTTACAACCTCCCTGAAATCTACCCGCTGGTTTAGTATACGACAACACTAACCCGGAAAAGTAAAGGAAGTCTCATGTTGCCTGAGTATTGTCTTGAGGCCAAGCAGAAACGATCCAAGATTTTTCACTTCTGGTCGTGGGCTGTATACGATTTTTCATATTCACAGTGACTGGAAAGTAAAAACTGCCGTTTACGCAGCAAACGAGAATGTTTACTTTCAAAGCCACTATAATGAAAATGTATTTATATATGTACTCGAAATTCTCTTTTTATTTGAAACATTTCTTGACTCCACCTCACTTAGCATCTTTTCAAAAAATAATATAATGCATTGCTTTTTTTTACAATGCGAACTGACAACGTTTAACATACTTCACCCATATTTTTTACGGTATTAGAACAATTTTTGACCGAAACTCTCAAGACCAAATAGTTTAGAATGGTTACAATTTCTCAAGAATTTCTTGATTTCACTTCAAAAACTGTTAACACTAAAAAAATAACTACGCTATAACAATACTTTAGAATTATATTATAAATACCTGATGAACTAAGCGGACTAAGGTGACATCTTGCAAGGCTGGAATGTATTGAATTAATAGGCTAGTTTCATCTTGTAAAATACTTTTCACTATAGAATCGACTTGTGCGCAAAGTGCAAGAGGATGAAACTTAACTTCCAGACAAGTGTACAAATCTTGAATATGAGATGATGCTAAACCAACAACATTTAGACGTACGATATCTTTAAGTAACGATGCTCTGCAAGGAGGCTGCATTAAACCCAAAAGAACTGCAAGTTTTTGAGCCTTCTCTTGAGGACTCTTATCAGTTTCAATAAAACGATCAAATTCTGGATGCGCAGAGGGTAGTGGAATCGATAACGTTGATAATAAAACCCTATTTGCCATACGTTGCTGTTCTTCTACAGACATATTTTTTTTCATGTCACGAGAAAGTTGAAATAGTTTAAATAATGCAGCAGCATGAAACAGGTAATTACCAGCTTTCCAGAAAACCATGGCTAATTTTTGATAATAATTTGCCATTGTTTTAGGAACTGGCATTTTTTTGGACAGATTCATTAGTCCATGTATATCTTCTATGGCTTTGTATGCTTCTTGCCACAATTCCATTTGAATCGCTGAATCCAACTGAATTAATCTAGTTTCCAAGTTAAGCTGTTGTGTTTCTACTTTATTGATTGATACATTGGACACCATTTGTGGTAGTTTACTTATGTCCTCTAAATGCTTTCTCAACTTTTCACAAAGTTTACGAAATTCCGTCTTTCTATTATACTCCAAACAAAACTGAAAAGCCATTCGAGCTATGTCATGATATAATGTTTCTACATGAGCATTGGTTCTTAACAATTCTAAACATTGACAATACGATTCCCATAAAAATTTGACCCAAGGTGTCAAAATTGTTCGATCACTTCTATCTTGGGCATCTTCTCCACTTACAGCTGACAGTAAAATACTTTCAGGAGTTGCTAAGTTATCGAGATCATCAATATCAATCACTGCTTGTTTACTTTGTTTCCTAGCAGCATCGGTTTTTTCTTCTGCCATTCGTAAATAACCTCGTATAACATTTTCTAAGCTGCTTACATTAACAGATTGAAACATATTTCTGTATTGAAAGAGTCCTTCTTTTGCAATATGAGATTTCTTCAACTCAACGCACAAATCTAAATACTTAAACATGATGGGCTCTAAAACAGATTCCGACCAGCTATACGTCCATTTTTTATTTCGAAACACCTCTTGTAGTGTATCTAAGGCTCTAGATGGCTTACCAACTTCAATAAATTCTGCAAAAAAGTTTAAATTTTATTAATTGATAAGAATAATTTTAATATTTATTAAGCGCGTATGAAAAAAAGATTGTTATCGAATAAGTGCTTAGTTCAAATTTTAACGTTTACAGTTAAAGTGTAAGAAATAGAAAACAGTCTTGTCGGTCTCTTAATTCTGTTAAAATTAAGGTTGTAATAAAATTACGTATTGTTAAGGTTTTTGTATGGCAATTGTACTTGAAACGGGTTGAACGACATAGCAGCCAAAACATCGTTGTAAAAAGAAAAAAAAAATATAATATCTACTAGCTAAAACCAGTAAATCTTGTACTTTAGTAATTAAAAACATTTATCAACACATTTTTAAACAAGAAATTTACCCATATATTTTATGATTTACTTTGAGGGAGGTTTTGTACAGGATATTTTTGATACTGATTTGTCTGATAACACAACTAGTAATTACACTAATCGCGGAAAATTGTTTTTTCTTTACATTAAACACTTAATAACTTTCATTTAAAAAGCTTCCTTTACTTTTAAAACTAAAACCAAGCTAAAGGGCTATTATTTCTTGAAAGTCTCGCTCTAATAATTATAATAACGACTATTTTCAATACAATCGCTTATAGGCCTCCATACGCAAATGTGATAAGAGTGAGGAATTAGGAAAAAACGACAATAAGAGGAATAACAATGGGAATAAGAGAAATTAGCAGAATAACGTACTAACGTACGATATTTTTTGAAAACATCAAGTTCACAAACATGATGCCTGATAGCTTTACGGTGCGAGTCCTGACGATTCCTTTCGTTTCTCGCAGTTTAATGTTCTGTTTAATAATAAATTTAACTAAATTTTCCAAATTAGTATCAGCGCAGCGCCTTACTGTTATTATTAGCCAAATTCTGTGTGATGACATCGTTAAACAGACACTCTGCTCACCTACGAAACCACAGCCTGCAAAAAGTTAAAACTTAATAACTGAACTAATCTAACTAATGTACGTATTTAAAACTGCCCTTTGTTATTTATTTGGATAATGCAAAAAAAGTGTTTTGTTCGAAATGTCACTTTGTAAGTCTACATTTCTGCAAATGTTCAAAATTTTTCAATAATTCTTCTGGTAAAAAACTGCTTTTATGATGTAGAAAATTACTTCATCATTTAATTACCTTCATGTTTGATTGATTATTTATAAATATCAATTTATTGCTATTCACTTTGGAATATATGGATACTGGAGAATTTTTTCAGCTCAATGGTTGGCTGCATTGCCGTATGGGGTGCGCCACCGCAGTTGCTATGTGTAGCAGGAGCAGATACGACATTAAAAAAATTTAGAGAGAGTGCGACGTTTTGTTTTTATTTATTATTGTGCACAAAAGCTCATTTAAAGAATAATAAAATATAGGGTACATGGAATTAGTGGGTTACGTATACTTCGATTCGTACATATTTTAAAGTACCAGTTACTTGTGATGGAGTACTACAGTAACCAACAAGATTAAGATTAGAGATAACATTAATCGGTTTTTCTATTTTTGGGTTCTTTATCTCTCTAAACATGCTCCAGCAGTATATTTGTTAACAGCCAATAGGAATTATCTAAAGGTGCTATTCTAGTTTAGCAATCACTCATCGGTAGCTATACAAACACTGCTGATAAAAAGGAGGATCTTAATTAGAGTTCTTACCCAGTAGTTTATCTCTCTGAGAACGGTATAAAGATATATTCTGCGTTTTTTCCGCTTTTAGCATTAACCAAGATTAACGACGTGGACGTAGCGGGGATATGATCCCTCTGGGGTGCTTGATTAACCCGAGTGCCCTTGCCTCTCACGTTGTGGAGTGCCTAATTAGCTTGAGTCCCCTTGCTTCTCACGTTCCTAATAAAACATCAGTCACCTCTACTTTTAACTTTCATTTTACCACAACGTCATCGTTTATCTTCAAAGCTTTGTCGTAATGGTTTTTATTGGCATTTTACACCTGTTGTAGTAAATTTTCTTTTCAAGTTCCAGGGGTGATCAGCCAATGTTTCTATCGCATTTTCCTTGGTAACGACGCTCCACCTTTTTTATGTCCTGGTGGAACTGTTCTCCTTGCTGCTTACTGTAATCATTCAAATTATTGGGGAACTTATCAAGATGTGAATGAAGGAAATGCAACTTAAGATTTATATTGCAGCCAAAATTTCCATAATTTTTTAAAAACTCGAATACTATTTTCTCATAATCATCGCTCTTGTGGTTTCCCAAAAAATACTTTGTTACGCTCTGAAAACTTATACATGCAGGTTTCATGCTTTTTTCATTTTTTTGACGAACTCACTATCTTGAAACACTTTACGAATTTGACGTCCATCAAATATTTCCTCATTCAACTTTGCATTGGAAATAGTAGAAAACTTGTTCGTTAGGTATGCAAAGCAATTTTTTTGTTTATCTAAAACCTTCACTAATTGTTTCATGATACCAAATTTAATGTGCAGAGGAAGAAGAAGAATATTAGATAGATCAACCAAAGGTTTGTTAATGATGTTCTGTGAACCAGGATTAAATAATTTTCTTTCTGGCCATTCTTTTTTTGAGTAATGATTACTTCGGTCTTGACTATTTTATTAACACAAGTAACAAAGATTCTTGGTAAAACCACTTTGTCGACCAAGTATCATGAACAGCATTTTTAGATCACCACATATTTGCTGTTATATAATAAGACAGCTTTTAAACTCTGTTTAGACGAGTCAATGAATAGTCTCCAGTACTGGTCTTTGTAAACAGTTTTTCAAATTTCATTCACTAGTCTATCAACAGTTGTACAGTAACATAGTGATAACTTAATGTCTTTTGTGAAATGTTCTCGAAAATACTCCTTTCTACCACGATATACCGCTACTTTTATTCTTTCTGTTAACAAATTCATCCTTAAGTCAGAAGCCAAAAACTCAGCACTTTCTTTTGACAAACCCAAGTTTCTCACAAGATCATTCAGTTCGGACTGCGTATATTTCTGTGGGGTTTTGTTTTTTTCTTTTTTACTACTGATGTAATCATTTTCACTATCCTCATTTTCTTCTTCTGTTTCTTCTTAACTGCCATTTACGTTTTCTTGACTTTCTTTGTAACCTTGTTTTGTCTGTTTATTTAAATTTTTTTCTGCGTTTTCTAGATAATCCACTAATTCAGTGTAGAGTGAGTTTACCATGCTTAATGATTACCATGAGTTAATAAGGGTATACAATTTTTAACTTGGTAAATTGAATGAAACCTTTTACTTAAGTTTTACAAAAGTAACACTTTTTTACAGATCGGCGCTCACTTCAATTTGCTGGAATAGAAAATAGTAATTAAAGTAGTAGAAAGGCCGCGGCCACTAGTATAAAATATAAAGAAAGTCATGACTGTAAGCGAGGTAAATGTTTTGATATCTTATCTTTACGTACAGCGTTTTGATTGATATCAGACAGTACTTGTTCAGCAATTTTGCTTTTTTTCACAAGAACATGTATGTTAAAAAATTAAAACCATTGTTTTTCAAGCATTTGTACATCTAACAGTCCATCGTGTGCGTTAAGTGTCTAAAGTTTAAAAAATTCTTGTGGTAAAATCATAAACTTGCGATTGACAGCATTTCCTAATTGGGGAAAACAGTTTTCTAAATAATGGTAATGAGTCTTATAATCTTTCGATGTAAGAGCTGAACTTATATGTATACGATAATTTATTGATTTTATGAGCTAAGCGATCAGCATCAAATAAACAATTCTGAACTACGAAAAAGAATTTTTTAATAACTTTTATAGGAAGAAACTTAGTGATTCATTCATGGCATTTTTAGTGCTCAGAGTATGTACTTCTTTTCTATTTTCGCAGTTTTTAGCCAATATGAGATAATCCATGAACCTCATTGGCCGTTCGATCAATCACAGATGTTAGAGTAATTACATTGAAAATACATTTTCCACATTTTGCAGATATTTGTAATGTATCACGACTCTGCAAGGGAAAGCTACTGGTTTCTGTGTTAAAGAAAACAGTAGAAACAATTTGTGTTTAAAAACTTTAGTCCAATGCTTGGAGACAAAAAAATACGATTTAATCGTATGTTTTCCAGTAGAGAAAAAATTGGTCACTTCCCTACAGAATTTCCCTAACAATCCAGAAAAAATTGTTTTGTCCAAATCAAAAGTTAGTTTCATTCATTTATTGAACAATTTTTGAAAAAATGATAATTTTTTGACAATCAATCTTATTGTCATTAAATTTCCTATAAAGTTATGCAGTTTCGTTGTCCATTCTGTTTGGTATTTTGCCTGGGGTTGAAAGTATTTTTGATAAATCGTCGTACATGTAGCCTTTTTTATTAATGAAACTGTAACAAGCTCGATATTAGAGCAATTTTTTTCTTAACAGTAGTTACACATTTTTGTACAAGTTAAACTGTTTGGGGCTCTATTTAATCGTAATGGAAGATTTTTTAAAAAAAGGTGTGAAAAAATTTGTTTATTCTACTTTTAAGGGGGTTATTGTGGTACAATACGCGGTCAAAGTTGGGTGCGTCGAGATCTGAGCTGACTGTACCCTCCTCTTCCCGTAGGATGAATCTTGATCCGTAAATGTACTCGCGCATGAGTAGTTCAGGTGTAGTTATCGGTTTGCTTCGTGTTCGTTATATTTTTGGCAAAATGTGCTACTCAAATTACTAGATATCATTAACTATAAAGCTGGGCCTTCTAAAATTTGGGACAGTTCTTCTTAATACAATCAGCTTCAACGAGTTAGAAATTCAAGTATGTAATTTGTAGTGATAAAATAAGTGTTTCATGATCATTTTAAAAAATTCTATAGAAAATAAAATATCAAGATAAACTCCTTTAAATGCCCACTGCATTAGAAGAATAAAAATCTGTATTTACAGTGTACCAATTTTTTACTAATAATACAATGAGGATATACTTAATAAATATTTTATGAATAAGCATGTTCAATATTTAATACCATGTTTGTAA